GTGCGCGCCCGCGCGGCTTCCCAGCTGCCCAGCTTGTGCTGGCTTTCTCCCGGGAACACCCTCCCCGCCTCGGACATTCCACCGGATCTAAGCGTCGGCTCGTACGGATGTCCTGGGAGATGTCCTTCTTGGTGTCCTGGGAGCTCGGTCACCTGGGTGCTTTGTTCACCCATCTGAAGGCCAGGAGGGTTGAGGGGGCGAACAGAGCGAATCAGGGACCACGTGGAGACATCAGTACCAAGCGCGACCCAAACAACTGCTCCATCCAGAATTTTATAAAATGCCTCTTTGCCAGGAACACACCCCTCTATGGCCAATCCAGGCGCTGACACTAAGATCGGGTAATTATTATTTCAGAGCCATGATGATCGTAGCTACCATTTATTGAACTCCTATTATGTAAAAGGGCAAATGCAATAATCCAGGCGGCTCGGGCACAGAGAAGAAAGTCTAATAAGCAGGTGATGGTTATAAGCTGGCAAACAGCAGCTGGGGTCAGGCCCAGAGAGGACGCCTGTGCTGAGCGCCTTCTTCACTGTCGCATCATCCCGCCTCCCCTCCTCACCTCCAACTGATACATCCCTGGAAGCAAGCTGGCAAGACCCGTGGGGTCTTTCAGGCAGCAAATCAAGGGCCGTAATGCGTTTTTTTCTTTGACGTAACATCAGACAAGACCATTGATTCTTCAGCCTGGCTGCATGTCAGAGTCACTTGGGTGCTCTCTGTAGGCCCGGGCTTCACCCCAGAACAATATTGAGCCCTATGGTTTTACAGATTGTACAGTTCATAGAATTTCACTCCAAACTAATTGGAATCTGAACTTTAAATAGGTAAATACATATATAACGTAAGCCAGCTTCATGATTCTATGGCACTTTAGAATCAGGAAGGGTGCAGGCAGATATATCTATCTCAGTCACTGCTCTTAGTTTTGGGGAGAGATCCCCTCTCCCTAGAATCGAGATTAAGCCATCTCCTGGAAATAGTCACAAAAATCAGTGGAGCACAAATAAGACAGTGTGTTCTTGTTGACTGCATCTCATATAGTCTTCTCTGCAAGGGGAGATAACCTGTGAGATAGTTGTCCCCCAGGGTAACAGCTGGAGAAGGAGTTCTCTGAGGTTAAGAGAGCAGTGAGAGTCTGCAGGGCAGATCCCAGTGGGGGGCCTTTACCATGACTTCATCTGTGCTCACCAGCCTACAGGTTGTGGTCCTCGGTTGGGAAGAAAACAGTTCATGTTCTGATTCACCTCCATTCTCTCACTTACCGTGAACAGGTCTAAAAATGTTCCATTTGTCCAATTTGCACGAGGCCGTGCCCTTCAGCCAGAGCCCTCCCTCGTGGAGACCGGGGACAACTGGGTGATTCCGGCGCAGGCCCTGAACATCTGGTGGCCGCCGACTCCTATGGCATGTAATTACAGCACGGCCAGCTGGAGGGTTGGGATTAAGGTCTAATCTTCCAACATATGTTCCCATTTAACCTCTCTTCTCCCTCCTCCCCACTCGTGCCCACGGGGAGCGAGGCGTGGCTGCTCAGGAAGCCCGCCCCTGCGGAGGGTCTCCCCCGAGCATCGCCGGCTTTCCTGAGGGACCCACAGGCGAGCAGTTCCCAGTTTCAAACAGACCATCCCTTGCCTTTCACATGGTTCCTCCTTGACCCTTCTCAATCCCGTATGTCTTCATGCCTTGTTCAGAAGACTGGTGGTCTAACAGGTCTGACTGTGGCCCGCAAGGTAAAGAGCCTTACAATTCATTGTTTCACTTGGGAAAACACCAGTTCTTCTTTCATTACAGTGACCGCTGCATCGAATGTAGACAGGTCTCGTTGGCATCCTTCATGCAAGTCTTCATGGACATTGAGTGGGGAGGTAGGTGTAAGGGGGTTTCAGAGCCAGACATGAGCCATATTTTCTTGGGTAGATGTTGGTGGTACCTTGTTGCAGATGCGATGCTCCCACCCGGATAAAAGCCGGGAGAATTATCCAAACTACTAGGCACAAATGCTCGGGTAGACATCAAGTCTTCATAAGCATCCCCGAGTCATCTTCACATGGTCGTTCTTGGCATGTGGTGGGTGCTTAAAAACGGCAGCTATTACAGACGTGTGCAGAGCATGAAATGGCCCAAATGCAAACAGCTGATTAAGAAGAAAGGGGGAAACGGGAATGCTTTCAGCAAATTGAA